CGTATGAACCGAACTCCGGTCACCGGCTGCCAATGGATAGTGGACTCCTTACTCCACTCCTACTGCCTTGTAGGTCACACTTGGCTGTGTAAAGGCTAGAGCTGCACTCTCAAACAAGCGAGCGATGCTGGGGACATCACTCGTACCAAATTCCCATGAAACTTCATGAACTCTCTTACAAATTGCCGCGCCTGGGCAGCGATGATTCGAGACGTTCATGAAGCCGGCTCATCCTCCCGTAGGAGATAGCCGAAGTGAAGTAAAAAAAAAAGTAAGTTTACCTAGTAGTAGTGAGACCGTCGCTGTTGTCTCACAAATTGAAAAGAATCGTAATATTTATTATTATGTAATAATTAATTTCAATAGAACTTCAGGTTGTTCCTGAAAAGATGACACAAAAAGAGCTGGTCAGAAAGTCATTTATGGAATTGTCCCTTCAAAACAATGTAACAGGGGCGCTTGTGCAAAATGTCTTGGACTGTATTCGTTTTTTTAATCCATATGCGCCAACAACCATAAGAGGCTTGCTAAAAGATAGCGGCGTGTGTGTACCTAGATTTCTTGGACAAGGTGTTTACTATCATATTTCCTAATGGGAACCAGACACTTAGAAATGATAGGACATTCCGTGGTCAAGTTCAAGCAAGTCACCATCGGGGCAGAAGCTGTCTTGAGGAATTGCCACTTGACATGGTGAAACCGTTTCCCTTGGAGACAATGCATCTAATATACCTTGGTGTTGTTAAGAAGTTAGTGTTCCTTTGGCAGGGTCTTGCAGCACGGCGAGAGAAGCAAATGGATAGTAAGATTATTGCAGATATTAATAACGGACTGCAAGTAAGTAGGAAACACATTCCTTGTGATTTTCAGAGGAAATGTCGGCCGTTAGTTGACGTTAGCCAATGGAAAGCAACTGACTTTTCTTACTATATATGGGTCCCGTCCTACTTAGAAACACTCTGCCATGCCACCTGTACGCTAATTTCAGATTATCCCTGGCAGTATACTTACTTTCGAGTACCAAATACAGCCGACTGTTTTTGGATGCTGCTCGGACAGATTTGAGTAATCTCTTACTGCAATATGAGAATTGTTTCGGAAATGAACATATTGTTTACAATATACATTCTCGGATGACGTCGAGCTGCACGGGCCACTAGAAGAATTCAGCGCATTTCCCTTCGAATCCTATATGCGCAAGATAAGATAGTCCGTGCACTATGGTTATGCTGTGGCTAAGCAGACAGCTCAGCGCTATGTTGAACACATGTACTTAATGAAAAGTACAGGTGATAAGCACGTACCTAAAGAAGCTGGTACTAAGTGTGTTGAATTTTGCAAAGGAAAGCTGACGTATCTGAATACCATATTCACATCTTATTCTCCGGATAATGTCATCTTAGCCTTAGGTAAACCAGGGAATATAGTTGAAATAGAAAGTGAAGATAGGATACGTTCTCAACCCTATAGCGATTATAGTGATTTTACTATATTTAAGTCAAGGAATTTAGGGATATTTAGATGTTCGAAATTCAGTCACGAAACACACTGAATATCCTATGTGAATATTGTCTGCAAGTGCATGACTGTTCCAACAACTAATGACGAAGTAGTTATCCCCCTGCTTCATACTCTTAATTGAAAGTACTGTGCCGTAATTTTTGGCTTGAACTGTTGATATGTAATTCGTCTAAGATTTTTTGTAACGTCTATTTGTTGTCAAATCCGAACATCTACCTCTAACTGGCTAATATTGTTGGTGAAACTGAAGTTCATTTGACAGTTTATTCCGCGTTTTCGAGTTATAGGTATATCCATGCTGTTATTGATTTTAAGCAACCTGATACATGAATTAGTAACAGCCGTATTTCTACTTCATTATATATCCTTTTGCAGAATTCTACACCAATCAGATACCTCGTCGTCCGTTCGCTAGAAGATGACACTTTAGTCGCTATCCCAAACACTTGGGTTTTGCGAAGTGGTTTATGTGCGTACAGCAGCACAGCAAACCATCTACAGCCTATGTTTACCGGGGCTGGATGGTCAGTGTTTCAATTCCGTCAACTTCAGGAATTTGGTAAGTTGGCATATTTCATTATCACCCTTCTAGATACGTATGAGAACTGTAAAAAGGGTATAGAGCTTATGAAAAGCAATGATCAAGGCACCAGGAATGTAGACATGGACGATGACACGTTGCCAATGCCCAGTAAGAGACCGAAAAGGTAGGTATCGTTGTCTGTCTAACACATTTTTCAGGGATGCCAAGAAAAATGATAAAAATTTCCTTTACAACTCAATGGATATTGAAGTAGCTGCCAGTGAGGTTGGTTGCATCAAACCACAATATCCAGACTATAACATATTTGATGACTTCGTGGCCCCAATTCCAAGGTATTAACTTGATGGAAAGCCCTTCATTTTCAGTACTTCGGGTGCCCCCATATTCCAGTCTTCATCTTCTATTGGCAAAAAGACAAGTGTGTGCGACCGGTAGGAATAATTGTTACAATTTTTATTCATGCTTTAGATTACCGTCTAACGAATATGCTACTGAATCCTCAATTAAGAAATTACTCAGTAAATACTTAAAAATAACTATTCATTTAAAGATGCTGTAATGGAAAATATCAATTTAAGTACAAAAATCCTGAATATGGTTACAGTGAACCACAAATCTCGACTGCAAACCAACATTCTAGCAAACGCAAGTGTTAATTCACCGTTTGCTAGAATGTTGGTTTGCAGTCGAGATTTGTGGTTCACTGTAACCATATTCAGGATTTTTATACTTAAATTGATATTTTCCATTACAGCATCTTTAAATGAATAGTTATTTTTAAGTATTCCAAATTTTCTATGCCATTGATTAGGTAGGTGAAAATTATTACTATAAGTCGAGTATATCTTGAAATTTGTTCGTAAGGAATATGTGGACGCAAAACTGCAGCAGTTAAGCTGTTTCGTTAGAGACAGAGGACATCCTAGAGAGTTTTCGCAAACCCCACCCAATACACTTCAGGAGCTAGAGGCTAAATATCAGGTGATGAAATGTGCTGCATGAAATGTATAAGTGGTCGCTTGTTCAAACGTGGCACCCAAAGATTTCCGAATGCAGAGTGTGCCAACATTCAACACGCCTCAGGAATCTGAGTAAGTCTCACTGGTTAGTGTCTATGAAGGGATCTAAGTGTTGTCGATATTTATCACCCGAAAAAGATACCACGCTGTTGTGTAATGGCAGTTTGGATTCCAATGAGCAATGCTCAGAATGAACTGTTAATAGCCGGATTATATCTTGGACACAGTATCACATAACGAATTTTACACAGACCGTCAGTTATTAGGAGGCTAACCAAGTTACTAAGAAGTATCACTTATTAATATTGGATGCCTAGGGACCTTGAAAGTAACAGAAGACTGATAGAAGCTGGTTAGCATTGGTCACTAGATGTCGCGGGTAACCGGAACAAGCAACAACTAGAGACAAAATATGTGTTGGTCGTGTGTGAGGGGTGTCGCAAGTTATTTGATGAGTTGTCCCTATTTCCGATTGATTAAGGGGAATCGGTGCATACAGCCATTCCTGAAGCTGACTACAGTGACAGGAGTGGGTGATTTGTGATCAGCTGATATGATACGACCTTGTCCTCCAAAATTCAGCCGGTATGAGTATTTTCTGGTGATGGCAGAGCACGCTACATGGTGGGTAGATGGTGTGAAAGGGAAAAATTTGCATCCAGCCGGCGAAATACAGCTTACAGGAAGATTAGGACAACATCATATCACCCACAAGCTGGGGGTGTGAAAGGGTGGAATTACCACGCAGTAAAAGAGTGTTTGGCCTGGAAGGAAATAATTAAGAGACAGATTTACCATTGAGTTTATTGGCACATCGTGTCTCTGTCCTCGAAACAAACAACTCACTGTCTCAGTTTATGTGTGTTAGGGTACCGTGACTTCAAATACACAGTAAGGCCTGAGCGCATCATTGAAAGTGGAAAATGACGAGATGGGAAACGAAGCGGAAATAGACAATTAGAAATGTGAAGCATAAACAAGAGAGGAGCTGAGGAGTTCGGGCATAGGTTACATAAGAAGCAAAGCGTAGGCGAAGGAAACACACTGCAAGAAGTAAGTTACTTTCACGAAACGTCTCTCAAAGTGGAAAGGACTATTGTCTGTCACCGTGATACGTGGTCCTGTTTCTACTATCATAAGCGGAGGCAAACAGAAACGTGTTTACGCCAAACAACTTCAGAGGTGGATACATTGGGCTAAGGAGGTTGGTACGAAATATGGGTTGGTATCATTGGGAAGGCTGATGTAGCATTTTACTGGGAGAGAAAGCGACTATGGCAGGTGGTATTGAGTAGCAGTAAGTCATGTGTCATCTCTGGAAAAAATTCGTGGAAAGGACACTGACAGGTCTGAGGAAAGGAAAAATGACATATATTTTTTAACCAATATAAAAAAGCATGAGTAGAAGACGAAGAGGCAGAATAGAAAGAACTTACGCGAGGGGAAATTTCAATGTAGGCCTTCTATATTTCATCACGATGGTGATTATTTTCCAAGTGAACATTTCTGCCATCAAGAACTTCTAATTTATGTGATTACAGTATGATTCATGGTGTAATAAGTTTATCAGGTGAGATGGCTTGACTTACCAAATCCCTTCTTGTCATATCATGGGCAGCAACGAGATGCCATAACGATATTCAAAATCGTAAGACTCGACGAATGCCCTCTTTGGATTTTTACTACGCCAGTGGGTCTCAAGCGAAACAGGAGAGAGCCCAGAAGATATGCAAGTACAGTTCTCCCAATGAGCCATTTATTCTGTGGACTAACTCTAGAGGACAATAGTGCTTTCATTTTCGGCCAACTTGTTCAAGAATGAATCAGAAAGGGATTGACATAGATTTCGAGCCTTCCATTTTCAACCGAAAGCCCGGGACCAGAATGTGTTTAAATGCATCAAGTAAGGTCATATTAAGTAACCTTGTGGTTGGTAGGATTTGAAACTTGTGTTTTGTTGGTAAGTTGTTGGTAAGTTTATTTAGCTTATTCTCGGTAGCGCGAATTTTCTTATGATTATAAATCATTGCATTTTAATAGTACTCAATCGTACTTTCTACTAAGACGTTTTCATCCTGTTTTACTTTCGTCACATCAATGAACTTTTCGTAATTGTAATACGTATACAAATTACCCAAGCTTATTATAATTCTGAATTAAATCTCAGTAATTCTGAAATAATTCTAGCATCCTCTACTGAGTAAATTCTAAATTTTTTCTGAAATCCAATTGTTTAATGGGACAGACTAGAACTCAGTGCTAGTTTTCAGCATAACTAGCGCTAATTCAGCACCGTGTTCTTCTTTTAAGCATTGTCAGTAGTAGATCAGCACTGACTAGCATTACTTTTGAACGAAAAGACTCAATTCAGCACACAGTGGCAATCTTTTCAGCTCAATTCAAGCCTTCGCAGATCATTTTCAGCACTGACTCGCATTACTTTAGAACGAATAGACTTCTACTTATTATTATCACCTGCGTCCTACGTCGGCGGAATTCTTTTAGTTAACAGAAAGAAATCAGCTTTTATAATTGAGACTTTTGTATTTACAAACTGTAGTAGAATGTCACTGCAATCCCGTCAAGTGGGATCCACTTGTAGCATCCTGCAAATAAGCAAAATAAAATATTAGTGGGTGAAAAATTGTGCTCAGCACATTCTAATTATTTACATTTATAAAGGTCAACTCACATATTGCTGTTTGTACTTGTCGTGTCTTAAAGATGCTTCCAGCTGACAAAAATTCTAAACTTATTCTAACCTATGCGTCGATAATGCCTTTTTTTGGTAAATCAATATTTTTCTACACACTATGTACTGAAATAACGCTGGTCGTGCTTAAAAATAGAGCTGGGTGCTTAATTAATGCGACAAATTCTCAAAAATATGATCAGCATCTGAAATAATGCCTTAAGTGCTGAAAATAAGCACTGCATACCTAACCGCTGCGGTTAATACTGAAAAATAACACGTTCTCTCTCGCTCTCTCGACATCGTCTATTGAAACCAACCAACCAATCAGCAAACAGTAGGTTTCACACAGAGTACGTAGTGTGACGGCTTCACACTTGTCTGTGAATATCATGTGATGTGATTGGTCTATTCCACCAGAGGTGTGACAGTAATTATGAATACAACGAAAACATAATTCAACAGGGGGTAGCGGAATGTGAATTGATAACATATGTAGATTGTAATGAATAATATATTTCATATATATCCAAACCAAGTTCACTTTTAACGGTTTGAGAAAATTTGGGCATTGGGTATATGATATTCATTACAATAGAGGTTTTTTGTATTTCCCAATGAATGAAAAAACAAAACGAGATTGTTCTTACTGACGTTTCGCTATTTAATGCTAATAGCTTTCTCAAAGTATTATTAAATCGGAATTTACAAAATCTCAGTATATATATAACAAAGAATTAGGGGGTGAGAAAAATATAGACTTAGTTCAACTTAAAAGGACATACTGAAAGTCAAAATAACAATGAAGATCGTTCAAACCAAATATCAAAGGTAATAGTATATCTGTTATTCTATCAAAATAAAGTTTACTAACTTGATCATCGTTCGTTAGTCTGGGGTCATTTTTGGTTGTCAAGTTCGAGAATAAGTAAAGGTAACCAAACTAAGTATAGAATGTGAAATACTTGATTATCGTTCGTCAGTATGAGGTCATTTTGGTTGTCATGTTGGGGAGTAGGTAAAGGTAACTAAACTAAGTGTAGGCTGTGAAATACTTGATCATCATTCATCAGTCTGGGTCGTTTTTTGTTGTCAAGTTAGCGAACTGGTAAAGATAGTAAAACCAAGTGTAGATTGTTGGATTTTGTCAGTGTGTAGAATTATGAAAGTAGTGTGCGTTTATATAGTGAACTTGCTCACCACATTTGCGTTGATTTTGCTACTTCATGGGGGAGGGTGTTGTAGTCAGGTTAGATTCTGTTTCAGTCCATCATTCCTATTCAGGCAATTTGGATTCCACTTGATATGAAGTGCTTCTGATATTAGACGTTCTTTGTGGTTTCTGAAGTTTTTCTGGATTATTTCAATATTGTCAAAATCAATTTTGTGGTCTGATTCTATAGCATGTAGACCTATGGCTGATGATTTTTGAAGTTTTTCCAGTTCAACTGGATTTCTTGGTGGTCGAAGAGAAGCTCTACGGTGTTCATTTCTTCTGATTTTGATTTCTCGAGATGTTTGTCCGATGTAGATCGCATCACATTCCGAGCATTTTATTTTGTAGACACAATTAGATAGAGAATCTTTCGGAATTTGGTCTTTTATATGGACAAGGTTGTTTTGAAGTGTGTCCGATGTTTTGAAGAAAACTCTAATGTCGAGTTGATTAAGTACTCTTCTGATGTCGTCTGACGTCTCTGCTCTATATGGAATGACGACTGTTGAAGTCCATGTTTTCGGAATGCATTTTCGGCCATACTTAATGTCTGTGTTGATTTTGTTGATGAAGTTCGTTGGGTAGTTGTTTTGCTTGAGAGTTTTAGTGATGTTTGAAATTTCTTCTTTTTTTTCTTGCTCATCTGTTATCAGGGAGTGTGCTCGTCTAAGAAGACTTGAAACAACTGAAATCTTTGCGCTGATGGGGTGTGAATAGTTATTTTTAAGTATTCCAAATTTTCTATGCCATTGATTAGGTAGGTGAAAATTATTACTATAAGTCGAGTATATCTTGAAATTTGTTCGTAAGGAATATGTGGACGCAAAACTGCAGCAGTTAAGCTGTTTCGTTAGAGACAGAGGACATCCTAGAGAGTTTTCGCAAACCCCACCCAATACACTTCAGGAGCTAGAGGCTAAATATCAGGTGATGAAATGTGCTGCATGAAATGTATAAGTGGTCGCTTGTTCAAACGTGGCACCCAAAGATTTCCGAATGCAGAGTGTGCCAACATTCAACACGCCTCAGGAATCTGAGTAAGTCTCACTGGTTAGTGTCTATGAAGGGATCTAAGTGTTGTCGATATTTATCACCCGAAAAAGATACCACGCTGTTGTGTAATGGCAGTTTGGATTCCAATGAGCAATGCTCAGAATGAACTGTTAATAGCCGGATTATATCTTGGACACAGTATCACATAACGAATTTTACACAGACCGTCAGTTATTAGGAGGCTAACCAAGTTACTAAGAAGTATCACTTATTAATATTGGATGCCTAGGGACCTTGAAAGTAACAGAAGACTGATAGAAGCTGGTTAGCATTGGTCACTAGATGTCGCGGGTAACCGGAACAAGCAACAACTAGAGACAAAATATGTGTTGGTCGTGTGTGAGGGGTGTCGCAAGTTATTTGATGAGTTGTCCCTATTTCCGATTGATTAAGGGGAATCGGTGCATACAGCCATTCCTGAAGCTGACTACAGTGACAGGAGTGGGTGATTTGTGATCAGCTGATATGATACGACCTTGTCCTCCAAAATTCAGCCGGTATGAGTATTTTCTGGTGATGGCAGAGCACGCTACATGGTGGGTAGATGGTGTGAAAGGGAAAAATTTGCATCCAGCCGGCGAAATACAGCTTACAGGAAGATTAGGACAACATCATATCACCCACAAGCTGGGGGTGTGAAAGGGTGGAATTACCACGCAGTAAAAGAGTGTTTGGCCTGGAAGGAAATAATTAAGAGACAGATTTACCATTGAGTTTATTGGCACATCGTGTCTCTGTCCTCGAAACAAACAACTCACTGTCTCAGTTTATGTGTGTTAGGGTACCGTGACTTCAAATACACAGTAAGGCCTGAGCGCATCATTGAAAGTGGAAAATGACGAGATGGGAAACGAAGCGGAAATAGACAATTAGAAATGTGAAGCATAAACAAGAGAGGAGCTGAGGAGTTCGGGCATAGGTTACATAAGAAGCAAAGCGTAGGCGAAGGAAACACACTGCAAGAAGTAAGTTACTTTCACGAAACGTCTCTCAAAGTGGAAAGGACTATTGTCTGTCACCGTGATACGTGGTCCTGTTTCTACTATCATAAGCGGAGGCAAACAGAAACGTGTTTACGCCAAACAACTTCAGAGGTGGATACATTGGGCTAAGGAGGTTGGTACGAAATATGGGTTGGTATCATTGGGAAGGCTGATGTAGCATTTTACTGGGAGAGAAAGCGACTATGGCAGGTGGTATTGAGTAGCAGTAAGTCATGTGTCATCTCTGGAAAAAATTCGTGGAAAGGACACTGACAGGTCTGAGGAAAGGAAAAATGACATATATTTTTTAACCAATATAAAAAAGCATGAGTAGAAGACGAAGAGGCAGAATAGAAAGAACTTACGCGAGGGGAAATTTCAATGTAGGCCTTCTATATTTCATCACGATGGTGATTATTTTCCAAGTGAACATTTCTGCCATCAAGAACTTCTAATTTATGTGATTACAGTATGATTCATGGTGTAATAAGTTTATCAGGTGAGATGGCTTGACTTACCAAATCCCTTCTTGTCATATCATGGGCAGCAACGAGATGCCATAACGATATTCAAAATCGTAAGACTCGACGAATGCCCTCTTTGGATTTTTACTACGCCAGTGGGTCTCAAGCGAAACAGGAGAGAGCCCAGAAGATATGCAAGTACAGTTCTCCCAATGAGCCATTTATTCTGTGGACTAACTCTAGAGGACAATAGTGCTTTCATTTTCGGCCAACTTGTTCAAGAATGAATCAGAAAGGGATTGACATAGATTTCGAGCCTTCCATTTTCAACCGAAAGCCCGGGACCAGAATGTGTTTAAATGCATCAAGTAAGGTCATATTAAGTAACCTTGTGGTTGGTAGGATTTGAAACTTGTGTTTTGTTGGTAAGTTGTTGGTAAGTTTATTTAGCTTATTCTCGGTAGCGCGAATTTTCTTATGATTATAAATCATTGCATTTTAATAGTACTCAATCGTACTTTCTACTAAGACGTTTTCATCCTGTTTTACTTT